TTCACAGAAGCAGCTTGATTAAATAAACGTCTTTTTTTTTTTTTTACATTAAGTTTATCTTATTCTCTTATCCAGTAGTTTTACATAAACAAAGTGGCTGCCTGTAGAGGACAGACATAATCAGTATTTTTGTATTTTTGGATCAGACAATAATTGTTTCTGATTTATTTGATTTTTACTTTTTTTTTACGTTTGTCATCCCAAGTTAATAAAAATTCAAAAGTATTATAACTGTTTTTATTTAAAGGTATAAAAAACAATGTACTACAACATATTATGCTGTGACCTGAAGTGCTAAAAAGTTACATAAAGTGCAAAACAACCAAATTGTGACATGAAACCAAAGTATGTATATATTAAGTCATAACATCTACAATGTTTTGCAAAGGTATTCACATAAACTTCACATTACAACCTCAAACTCCACTGTGTTTTATTTTACAAATAAAAATGTGTCTAACTCAAATCCAGAGCCACAAATTGCCTTCATAAGTCATCTACTTTGCAGACAGGCACCATTTGTGTATAATATAATATAAAAAACATAAATCACCATCCTGTGCAGATGCTATTCTTTAGCTGGAACAGAAACGCTGTTTAGAGCTGATGAAGCTAAATATGAGAGCATTACTGGAAGAAAATCTGATGGAGGCTCCAAAAGATTCAGGACTGGGATGGAGGTTCATTTTTCAGGAGGAAAAAATGACATTCAAAATGGTCCAGTCAAAGTCCAAATCTAAATTCATAACATAATCTGTGGAAAGATTTGAAAACTGCTGTCCACACACCTGCACCCATTCTGAAAGAATGTGAGCAGTTTTCTCCAAAGTATTGACAAATGCACACCACACTTTTCAGATTCTTGTTAGTACATAATCAGTTCGGGTCTGCACATTAAATACATTGAAGGTTTAACTTGTAATATGACAAAATTAGGAGAAATTCAAAGGTTATGGGTCACTTTTACTCAGATTAACTTAAACAAATAAAATCCCAGACATGCTAGTAGCTTTGCTGGTTCGAGTAAACCGTATCCAAAATCTTCTGCTCTGCCCCGGTTTAATATCTTTTAAGGTAAACTGATACTGACAGTAATAAGAACCCAGATAATAGCTCTAAATCAGTCACTGGAGAGACTTCCAACACTAAATGCCGTCCTGCTGTGGACAAACCGCTACATAATTCTGCATTAAAAAGTTTATATTGGCTGGATTCTAGAGAAAAGTAGCAGCAGATGGAGGTATTGTGCGGAATGTTGATGTTACTGTTCCAGGAGAGCAAAGTTAACCTGTAGAGAAGGCAGCGCTCTCCTCTTCATCTCACGTTGCCGTCTTGTCACTCAGGCCCGGTCCGTGCATCTGTCCAGCCATCAGTTCCCACATCTAAGTACCAAACAGATGGTGCTATCAGGGTAAACTCTGCGCCTTCCATCCTCCGCCGTCTCGTCGGCGCTTTTCATTTCCTCTTCCTCTTTTTCGCCCTTTTGCATCAGCTCCAAATGCCATTCACTCCCCGAGAAGGTAGATTCAGTCAGGGATATTACTGTCGCTGAAAATTAACTCGATGCGGTTCGGCAGGAGGATATTGTGTTTGTTTTTATTTTTTACAGACTTTGAAATGTTTTGTTGGGCATGTTGATTGTATTCTTCAGTCCTTCTGTCTGGTGTCCTCCCTTCATGTGTCTCTCGATTTCTTTCTTCTGCCCTTCCTTCCTCTTTTTGATCCGTCTTCCTTCTTGTATCCTTCATTGTAAACTTTCAGCTTTGAGTCCTACGTTATGTCCTTCCATCCTTGTGTTTCTCCTTCAGTCCTTCTTTGTGATCTTCACTGTTCTTTTATTTTCTCCTTCCTACTATCCTTCATTTTATGCCATTCTATCCAAGTATGGAAAAGTATGCAACTTTTCCATGAGAAATGAGTTCGGACCTTGCATCTGGCTTCAGGAAATCATTTGGAGATGTAAAAAAAACAACAAAAAAAAGCAAAACAAATGAAGCTATCACCAGAAATGTGTGCCTCCTGGATGTCCTTAATAGCTTTGGACTTTTTCTTCTTCCACTTTAGATGAAAAGCCTGAGGTGAGTTTTGCCTAATTTGCAACAAAATGCGATCTCCAAAACAAAACTGCAGCAGATTTTTGTTTTTTACTTATGCAATAACTGGTAGCTTTAAAAAAAAAAATATAAAGAAAATCAACCGTGCATGCAGAAGCAGTGTGGATCCAGTCGAGTTTTTATGTCGTGACTACAGCGGCCTCCATGCAGCAGTATATTTCCCAGCTTGAGAGCAACGCTTGCACACAGCAGCGCCGTCCCACATCCACAGGGGCAGAAAAGCTGCTTTTTAATTTAAACCCGATTAGTCAATAAAACAACGCGTCCATTTAGCTTCCCTGGGACAGCGTGAGTGAGGATGTGCCTCTGGGAAAATTTACTTCACGGAGTTAAGCCGTCTGTTTCTCTTATCAGCCTCAATTTTGTGATTAACAACTGTGGAAAATGTGACAGTCTCAACCCAGATAAAAAAAAATGACAACAAAAAAAAACCCCGCTCTATTTTCAGTGACAATTAAAGACGTGTCGACGCTGTTTTTTTTTGCCTCAGAACCAAACCACGTCCTCTGCGACTTTTTCCAGAATAAATAAGTGCCACAGATTCTCTGAGGCTCCATTCAATGTCTTTGTTTTCATTTTCCAACACTGGCTGAACTCAGCGAGCTCTTAACGTGCAAAAGTGTATTTCAGGTTTAAAGTGAAGTTGTTGGTTTCTGGTTGGCAGAAACCAGCAACGTTTTGGATGATTTAAATATTTGTTTTAGCCATAATTTATTCTATTCAGTTGCTTGAATTTTTTTCGTACAATGTGACATATTCAAGATAACTCACATTACAATTTATATAGTTAAAAACATGTCATATTAAGAATATGATGAACACTATTTTCAAATCAACACTATAAGCAACACAAATGGTGAACTTTTAGAACAGTACTTAAAGTATTATTAGTAGTAATAGGAGTTGCTTAGTTTAATTTACCTACTTCATAATTATACATAACTCTGTGTAGGTTTAGAAGCCAAACAAAAACACATTTGCTTCCAATATAATGTAAAAATATGTTAAATCTAAACTTTACATCTTACGGTCCTTCTCCTTACAGATTTCTCCCCGAATCCAGAAACACACAAAGCTAAAAAGCACACAGTTGTGAACAATTTACTTAAATATGATTACATTTCATATAATATACAAAAATTATACATACCTTGAATATTTTTTAAATTCTCCTTCAGTCATTTAAGCAAGTATTAGGTATATGTATGTATATTGAATTAGTAATTGATTATTCCTTCCTTTGGGTGTAAATATGTGACGATGATTTCCACCCACTTTTTTGATGCCAAATATTAGTTTTTAGAAATTAAATCTATAAATTTCATTGGCTCTTCAGCTTTTAATGCTGTTTGACTTTATATTCTTTGATATACTGATAACTGTATTTTATATTGTGGCTCTTAATAAATGTTCACCAGTAAGTGTACTAGTGGCTCAAATTAATTGTGGATTTTATTCTACATCAACTACTATTAAAATGACTATTATTATCACTGGTTGTGATCAGACTTTTAAAATCTATGCATATTTACCTTCACACTCATCAACCTCGTCTTTTTTCTTGTTTTTATTTTGTGTAAAGTACATTGTTTTACCCTGGTTGTGTATGAAAAGTAAAATAAAGATGAGTGATTAGATATTTTCCTACACTTTACCCTAGCAGCACTCATAATAATAACAACAATAAATAAGTTAAAATGTGTAAGTGTGACAGCCAAGGCAGACATTTACTACTTGGATGTTACTATAGTAAAACGACTATGTTGTTTTTTAAGCTGCTTTCCCCAGGGTGCCAGTAAAAGTATTTCTTTATGTCGTTTCATCTGTACTTTTCTTTTTAAAGACCGTTTGCTATGTCTGGATTTAAATGGCACAGAAATCCATGTTATTTCTGATGCAGAAACAGGATTAGCGCAGCGAACTGTTTCTCACTTGAAGCAGCAACGTGTCATCCAGCTAATGGCACTGGATGCACAGTGCTGATTGTTTCATTGTTTTTACTCCACTGTTTGCTTTAAATGTGACTGAAGGCTACATCTTCCTCGGCAGGTGGATTCCAGCAGCTGCAGCAGCGGTTTCCACACTTAATAGCAGGTGATAAGCAGTTTTTCACACTGTGTTCTCACACTGATGCCTGATCGTGCATGACAGTTCACCTTTCTCCAGAAAAGCCACCACTACCACCACCACCAGCAGCAGCAGCAGCAGCAGCAGGGATCCTATGACATCATCGCCTTCCTCTTCTTCATCAGTTATCAGCCCGGATCGAGCTGCCAGACCGCTTCATCACCCTTTTATATCCAGTGCTGCTGCAAGCACACCGTGCAGACTGCACACACAACAAGAGGGAAGGGGGGGGGGGGGTGAGCAGCTCCGGACCTGATGAGGAGATCCTCTCCTGTCCAGCCCGAGACAAGCAGCCGCTCCGCCGCCTGACCGCAGCCTCTCTATCCGGTTAGAGCGGATTAAAGCCTGACGGTGAATGGACGTCTATGCCAGAGCTTTAGTCCACTAAACTATCACGCTGGGGTCAAAGCTGGCCCATTAGAAGGCTACACAGTGTACCCAATGTTTATCAGCGTGGCTGGGAACGCACAGGAAGCGTTTATAAAAGCTCAATAGGGAGACAAATGCAATCTGACAGCGCGTATTTAGGTGTTAAACTCAAGTCATACTGCAAATACAGAATTCTAAGTCTGCTTGTTTTATGTTTTTAGAGATTGTAAATTCAATTTTTTTTAAATTAAAGGTTCGGGGACCCCCCCCCCCCTTGCTTGTCCCTGCAGAATCGTGCACAGTTTACAAAAAGAAACATACCATCTGTAACGCTAAAAAAAAATTAAAAAAAAATGCCACAGATATGTTTAATAAAATAGATGCACATACCTTCATTTCTCTCCCCCCGTTAGAGGAATTTGACGAGTAATGTCACAGCGACGACCATTGCCAGCGCATAGGGAATCAAACCATTACGTCTTCCCTCTCTCCAGCTGCCAGTGTGACTGGAGTAGGCATAACGTAACTGTAAGGAGAGCTGCAGCCAATTGGAGACGTGGATCAGCCGCTGGTATCTTTAGCAGCCAATCCATTTCAGCGTCTTGCCCAAATTGGGCGTTCTGGCCTGTGCGTAATGACGCATCGTACGGCGCTGCTTTATCATGAAGAACAAATGTTCTTTCTCGAACATTAGAGAATTTCATTTTTACTTTTTTTAAAAATAATGCCGCAGAAAATCGAAATGCGTTTATTAATGAGCTTTGCAAAACGTGTCTGGATTTATTTGGATGGAAAACTCGTGTTTTCCGCAGCGAGTTGCAATTTATTGTTGCAGCGGAAATAAATGCAAGCTTATTTAGCGCCACCTTTAGCCTCTGCGTACGTGTCTGTGTCTGGCTGCTCGCAAAAGCGAGCGGCAGTAATGAGATTAGAGGGGTTTCCAGCGTAACTTTGCAAGTGACCGCTAAGAACCCGCAGGGGGCAGCAGATAGCAGAGCCGCAGATTCATCATTATTCAGACACGAGCCCAGCTGCAGGCCGCAGGGATGTTCTTGATGTCCTCGCTGCGTGAGACACGGGAGTCACGCAGAGATGGAAAGTTTATTTAACAGTTTGTTCGCTCTTTCAGTTTCGGGTGCCTGGAAGTGGTGGTGCAAGGTGCCAACCACCTCTGCCGCATCTGCCACTGACCTGATGTTCTTGCACAGAGGCACATTAAGATATCCACTCAGGCCTTCAGGGCAGCAGTGACACAGTTTTCTCCCCACAGTGGAGCTGTCTCTGCAGCATGCGATCTGTAGTTCTTGTGTGCAAACTTCCCCATGCTCGTTGTGATGATGCAGAAAATGTTCCATCCTCTCTGCTTCCCTCCAAACAGCCAGTTTTCAACATGTTGTAGATAGCATCAGTTGGTTGCTATGGAGACGTTGTAACCCAAACGCTCTCTGGATAATTTCACTTAAAACAGTGAGCTTTGGAGATTCCCCCCCCTCCCCCCTTCACCTTTTACCTTTTCCTCATTGAGTCTGACAACCATTCGCTAAAATAATTGTATCATGAATTTCCAACAAGATGTATGAATAATAATAAGAAATTACAGCACAATTTCAATAGGCCTTCGCAGCGCTTAGCTGCTCGGGCCTAAAAATACTTGTTACATTTATTTTGATAGGAATTGTTGGTGGCACAAATAACTGTGCCATTTTGCTATAAAATATATGTGCACTGTATCTTTCAGCATTGAAAGATACAGATTAAAAATTAGATTTTTATAAAAAATGTCACTATACGCTGATGCTATTGCAAAAAAGATTAATTTATAGAAATGCCTGCGTTTGTGAAGTTATAATTTAAGGCGACTTTCAGGAAAACTCATCAGGATTGCATGTGGATGGCTTTAATTGTTTTTTATTCATACTGAAAAAAAAAATCTTCCTTCAAATTTGGAAAATGCATTTAGGATGAGGTGAAACACTGTTAATAAATGAGGAAAGGTAATAATTTTATGAAATTATTTGGCTTACAGTGACAATGTCTTGATAGAAGCTGAAGGAGAAGCACTGGGGTCATGAAACGAGGCTGGTCCAAGAAGGTCTGGACTGGTTTAAGCAGGAGCGGATCAGGACGGGTGTGTTGGGAATCCGATCTGCCATGACAAGCTGTAAGGATCCATGAGAGAAGATGATCAGGAGGAATGCCTCTAAATAATTTACCACAGATCCGTTCCCTCTCAGGTTTTAGGTTTCGAAAGTTAAATCTTCTCTTTAACTCGGCACTAAAGTATATTTATTTACATGCCGCACGTAGAACAGATTTACAACAAATGTCATCTTAACGCACATTGAAAAAAGAAAAGGAAACAGTGTGAAAGGCCAAATGCCAGAAACGACTGGGGGATGTGAAAAGAGAGTAGAAACATATAAAAGACAAAACCACTGACCCATGAAGATGCTCTATGTTAATAAACAAAGAGTTATTAGTAGCAGCAGCTCTTTTAGTGGCTTCACTTGAGAGAAAAACACAGCCAGTGTCAAGATGTTTTACCCCTTAAAAACGGAGTACACAGAGTTAGTGGCAACGTCAGCTTAACTGTTTGGTCTAGGAGAGAAACAGCATTAAAACATAGATCCAGCTCCGTGACAGAAAGAGAACGTGAAATTATTGGCAGCCTTGTCTTCTAAAGAGAACAAAAAAAAAAAAGTTAACGACAACAATAATTGCAGATAAGACATAAGTGGAGAGTAATAGGAGTAGCACAGTGATGAAAATGGGAAAGTTTGTCCTTTAGCACAACAGCCTTAGATTGCATAATGACAGAGAAACAAGAGCAAAGCATCATTTAAATGGGTCGTTGTTTAAAGCAACATGTGGAAACGTCATGGGATATTTTAACATTCTCCAACAATAGATGTCTGTTGTCAGCTGACGTGGCATTAAACTAGGACTTAACACAACAGTGGGTTTGATTATCTCTGTCATCTGTTGGGCAATCCAATAATTACAGCCAACAGGAAGTTTTAAGATAAATTGCAAAGTCTGGAAGAAGAAGGAAATGTTCCCAGCAGTGAAACACACCTTGCATTGTACTCTGCTGCACTGTTTTAAAGCACAATAAGTAGGCACATCTGATTAAAGCCACCAAAAGTAAACTTTACGTGAGTCCTTGGGTATTTCGTTCAAACAGGTTTGAAAATGAACAGCTAAACAAATAAAAGCAGGCTTGTGCGGAACAGAGCGATCCATTCATGTGCAGAGTTGCTGCAAATTCAGAAAATAGGGGTATTAGTCAAGAAAGGTTGGATTTGACTTTTTATCGCTCTGTGTGCGCCAGTTCGCACAGGGAGCATTTCCTTGGCAGTGGAATAAATGGATTAGATCGAACACACAAACAAATGTGCACATAAAATTCTGCCTGTACAAACTGCTAAAAAAACAACAACAACAACAACAACAACAAAAAGAGGATGGTGATTATCTTGAACACATTTGCAAACAGAAAGTTCAGCTAAGGTCCAACAAATTCACACAAAGATGACCCAGGCATGTCAGTAAATTAAAAGCGGTTGGAAATCTCCCAGAGCTGCTTTAAAAGCAAAACAGCTGCCAGAACTGAAGCTATTAAATATCGCCTAGGCAGGATGCCCAAACCCTGTCATCCTGAAACCGTAAAAAGGTTGAAGCAACCAACATCCCCTTGCTTCATGTAAATTAGAAATTCATGTTCACAGGAACAAAACAGTCCTAAACTTTCACACAAATCGTTTAGGAGAAATGTTGACGTTGGAAATATCAGATTTTTCTCTAAACTCACTTTTGTTTTTGTATATAACACTTCGTATGGAGTGCCTGAAAACTGTTTGCACTCTTCATGTTACATCCAAAAAACGTAAATGTACATTTACGGGATGCTAGGTGGCAGACTGACATCATTTTGAAGTGGAAGAAAAACATACTTTTTAAACAGTTTTTACAAATAAATATCTCAAAAAATCATTACAAGAATTTGTATTTAGCCTCCAAAGCTTCTTGGGGTTTATCTGTACCACATTTGTACATTAAAAGACTGTTCTGTTCAAACAAAGTCCAGCTTATGTTCAAGTGAGTTTTGGTCTGGACTTTGACTGGACCATTTACCACATGAATGTGAAATGAGCATCAGCTCTGGGTGGATGTTTTGGGTAACAGTCCTCCAAGAAGATAAAGTTTGGTTCTGATCTTCAGTCTTTCGCAGCTTCTAGCGCGCTTTTTTAACAGGAAAAAAAAAATCCACAGTATGACGCTGCCACCATCGTGTTTTACCAAGGGTTGCTGCATTCTGAGTGTTGCTCAATTTTAACTTTCAGACATTTATATGATTTTCCATGTAACAAAAAGCACATAATTTTATAACTGGATCTATAATTAGATTAAATTGCACACATGTTGATTCTTGATTAAGTGTTCTTGTAATCGGTTGGTTTTGTCTTTGGGGTATTGCAGTAAAGTCAACGCCATATTTTTTACATATATTTCCTTGTAAATCATTTTAAAAAGCAAGCACCCTTTTCTTTTTGCTTCAGAGTAGAAATAAAACACAACTCTGATTTGGCAAGTTTAGAAACAACTGAATACCTGAGGTTTTCAACATGAGGAAAAATCGAAACAAACAATAAGAAAAGCTAAAAAAAATGACCTCTAGCAATTTTGGAAAGCACTCGGGGTTTTAACTGTGATTCAGCATGTGTTCCCAGGAAATTCACCCCCCCTAAGACGACTAACACAAAGCGTTCTCCCAGTGGGAAACTGTTTAGATAAATGTTTTGGCACCAAGACATAAACATCTGTCAGAAATACCACAAACCAAACACGCAGCAAATAGCTGATAGTCATTAAGATGAGAAGAAAGTGTGAACGAGATTCATTAATACCTTCTCAGTGCACAGCGTATCATGCTCTTTCACCTGCTTTCTTTCTGTTTCTCTGGCAGTTTTATTCATATTTTCCTCCGTTTAGTGAATTGAATTGACATAAAATCTGCTACCTTGTCTGCTGTGGCAGGACCTTATGTCACTTGCCTCCCTTTGCACAATAAGTTGTCCAAATCTCCAATCTGCTACTAGTTAAGCCTGGTGGGATGAAGCTCATTAGCATGATTAAAATCTTTTACTGGAAAACCTGTATTCTTCTGGGAAATACAGTTTATTTGAGCTAATTCTTCTGAAAACAATAGACCTCCGACGGATCTCTTTTTTCACTCCAGCAAATTTAGAAACTAACTTTGGATGAGGTCCAGATGACATGTTCAAACTGTGCACAGACTGCACACCGATAAATCCCTGAGAGAGTGCAACACTTCTCTTCCTGCAGGATTGTGAAACCCGAGCTGCTCTTCCACAGCACACACTTTTATAAAACTCATAAAAGGCCAGGTTTAGTTTAAAGCATGAAATGACAATGCAAGTACGTTTCTGATCCAGATGATTCTCATTTCGACACACTCCAAAATAAACAAGAAAGCCGTTTGATTTAGTTCGAAACCTCTATAAAC